TGGGGAGGTGGGAGGTGACCGACCGGTAGATGATGAAGCGGCGTGGCGGCTGGCCCCTGAACCGCGGGTTCTCCAGAAACTTGGCTATGGCATCTGTCCATCCACACATCACATGAACAGAGAGAGGGAGAGAGAGGGGGGGGTGAGGCCGGGATGGATGTATGTGTGTGTGTGTGCGTACCTTCGATGAAGACGGGGAAGTTGTCGACCTGCTCTCCCTCCCCCTCCCTCACCCTCACGCTGGTGTAGTACTCGAGGAACAGGTCGTCCACCGTCGCGCTCAACACTACCACCGACTTGCCTGCAGCCATCCATCCATCCATCCACACCTCCATCATGGTGTGTTGGTGTGTTGGTGTGCTGGTATACCTACCTCTGGCCTTTTTGCACTCCACCCCGATGACCATGGTGCTCCGCTTGACCGCCGCCTTGGTGTTCAACGCCCACGCTGCGCCGCCCAACTGCAGAGAGAAAAACAAAAACACATACGCTGCCTGTGGTGGGTGAGGTGGTAAGTGGGGTGGGGGCTTCTCTCTCCCTCTCTCTACATATCTCTCTGTGTCCGTGTGTGTGTTTCCCTTGGTACCTTGCACGCGATCTGGGCGACCAGTTTCGGGAGTGCCGAGTTCCACCGATTGCCCGAGACCGTCTTGGCTTGCACACCCTACAGGTCATCCAAAGACAGACAGACAGACAGACAGACAAGTTGCGTGACAACGTGGTGTCTCTTTCCGCAGTGCGCCCACCTGTGTGAGCACCGCCTCGTTCCCACAGGTCAGCCGCTGCTTCATGGCCTGTATGACGATACACACACACACACATACCATCCATCCACCCACACCCCCCAGCCCGTTTGTTTCTCTGCCTCCCTCACCTCATAGACCTGTTTGGCCTGGGTCTTATTCTCGGGCAGTATGAAGACCACCATGATGGGGTCGCTGGCCTGCTCTATGCGTTCGCGCAGGTCGCCCATGTGCAGCCCGTAGACGCGCTCGAAGCGGGGGTCGTTGAGGGTGCCCATGTTGAGCACGGGCGGGTAGATGAGCAACGGGTCGTCGTAGCCCATCCCGTACTCTTCACACACACATGGACAGGGACAGAGACAAAGGTGTGTGTTGGGGTGTGCTGGGGGGCCTTTTGTGTGTGCGTACGTTCTGCCCTGGATCTTATGTCTCTGACGAGTCTGGTCTTGAGGGCCTCATGGTTCTGCCCGTAGACCACAATCCAACGCGTCAAGTTGGCCTGTCAACCACACAGGTCATATATGTCAGCCACACACAAGATGCAGCACAACTATTGGCGCCTTCCCCCCCCTCTAGAAACACTTACCGGAGCGATGAGCGAGTTGATGTTGAAGTTGGCGTTTCTGGGCGGGCCGGGTAGGGGTGTGCCGAGCTGATGGCGCTTCTCGGCGTGCTGTTTCTCCTGCAGCATCTCCTTGTCGGGAGACCTGTCGTAGTACCGGAAGGACACGGCCTCATCCCCGGCACCCAGATGGCGGCCTGCACACACACATACACATACACACGCACACAGAGAGACACAAGGGGGTGTGCGCATGTGTCGGAGGGGGGGGGGCGGGGGGGGCGTGCTCTTGTGTGGTGCTTGGTTACCCTTGACCAGGTTGCCGTCCGTCTGGATGGTGATCCCATAGGTCTCCAACACCTCTGCGCACACACACACACACAATGTGTGTCAACACATACGGTGGTGGATTTCGTTCTCTCTGTCTCACTCACCTGCAGCCCTGTTAGGTCCGCCCCCGACGGCCGTCTGGGCCTGCAGCTTCCGTGCCAGCCCTCTGCACCTGTTCAGCCGCACGCCGGGCAGCATTCGGCACCGGTTGGCGATCTGGTTGTTCAAATCAAAGTTGCTGCGGATGGACTCATCCATCCCTGCAAGCGAGGCAAGCCGACAGAGGCAGACTTTATTGATGGGGGGAGGGGAGGGGGGAGGGGAGAGGGGGTGAGGGTGGGGGTGCGGCTGACCGGTGAGTGTGACTGTCTGTGAGGGCAGGATGATGGTGTTGATGACCTGCTGAGTCCCGTCCGGCATGCGACGAGTCCTCTCGTACTTAACTGCAGTGCAGCCGACAACCAGTGGATGGATGGATGGATGGATGGACCATTCCTGTGCGTGTGTGCGAGTACCGAGTGCCTGTCCTTCGGCGAGGTTGATGCCGTATGTGTTCTGGAAGTACTGGGCGTACGACACCGTCACATCTTGGCCCTGTTGCCGACGGGTGAAGGTGCCGTGGATGCCAGGCTCACCAAACAACAACTGAACCAAACGACGGGCAGAGGACAGCAAACACACACACACACACACACGCAGAGACACGCTCGTGTGGGAGGGAAAGGGGTGTGGGGGTGTGGGGGTGTGGGGTGTGCACCTCTGTTATGGCGTAGAGCTTCCTGTCTCTGTTGCCCACGGGGCCGCTCTCCTGCAAGCAAACATCCGACATGTTCAAAGGGTGGGGGCTTATTCTGTGGCTGTCCGTCGGTCCTACGTAGATGGTGATGATGCGCCTTCCCTGGAACTCCTCGTTCATCCGCTGCACAAACGCGGCCTCAGTCCCGGTGAAACGCCGCTGCATCCCCCAACACACACACACATCCATTCCATGGGGCACACGCGTCCGTCCGTTGTCATGATGATGACCCCTTCCCATCCATGTGTGCCCAGCCCCCCACCCATCATACCCGTCTTTCGTCCAGCACGTCCCGCAGCGTGTTCATGTGGATGATGCGGTGCGTGCAGTCCACCTGACAAAGCAACCATTACAGCCACAATGGATGGCCATAGTGAGATTGAAAGACGCAGGTGAAGGAATCGCTGAGCGGGTGGTGGTGGTGGTGGGTGACCTGTAGGTAGAGTGACGCTTCGAGCTGCTGGATGGAGGTGAAGTACCCGGGGAGAAGTTGGTAGTTGCCCACGGTGGTGGTGCCGCCCAGCTCGGGGTCGACCGGCTGAGCGGTCATCATCCCCGTCAGGAACAGATGACGACCGATCACCTGGAACTGCACGAACACACACACATACACACACACACACACAGAGGGGGAGAGGGAGAGGGAGGGACGGAGGGAGAGGGAAAGTGGTGGATAACTGTTTGTGGCTGTGTGGGTAGGGGTGGGGGGCTGACCCTGAGTTGCCCCATGGCCCTCTTGACGGCACAGTTGAGATACTGGATGGTCTCCTGGTCCAGCGAACCATCTGTTGCAGACACATTGATGAAAGAAGGGACAGCAACAAGAGAGGACACAGACAGAGAGAAAGAGACGTGTACCCACGTGTGTGCCTTCTGTCCCCAGTCCTCCCCCGCGTTGCCCTCCGTACGCATGTCGATGGTATGCCTGAAGATGAAGTTGATCTTCTGAGGTTCCCCCGTCTGCAGTACAAGAAACACACACAGACACACACAGACACACACAGAGTTCCTCCCATCCCCTCCAAGCCCCCCACCCCCCCACCCCCCACTACCCCCGCACTCACGTCAGCGGCCTGTGGGAGCGTCACGGAAGCCGTGTGGTTCGGCTGTATGTTGGTGTCGACCTTGACAAACGTGTTCATGCCCTGGTACAGCAGCGCACCCCCAAAGGCATTCAAACTCTGCAATATCTGGCGGACATAAGAAAAGAGGGAACACACACCGGGGCACAAGAGGCCCCCCGCCGGAAGGACCATGCATCTTCTTGTGCAGAGAGATCCCCCCCCCCC